AAGAAATAAGGAGAGGTTATTTTCTCATTAATTAACTCGTGGCTTCTTCCGGTTGCTTGGCAGTAGTCTTTTCTTGACGAATTTGTTCAAGGGCTTGTTCAACTTTTTGCACTTGGAGTTCAGCATTCAGAGCCTTCACTTGTTCTTGAATTTCTTCTTTCTTTTTCCGTTTGTCTCATCCTAATAATTTTCTTATTTTTTCCAAAGTCAAACAAAGAAGAGAACAACTAAAAACAAAAGCAAATAAGAAGTTCCTTGCGTTAGATAGTTTTGAAAATTTTGAATTTGTTCAGCTTTGGCCGCACTCGAACGGCGAATTTCTTCCGGAATAGTATTATCATCAAAGATTTTGCAAATGTCTTTCTTCGACCTTTTTCAGTAAGTCAATAGTTTGTTTTTGATAATTAATTATTTGTTGTTCCTCTTTTAAGTTTTCAACCAACTTTTCTTGAATTTCTAAGGGGGGCAAAAGAATTGAATAGTTTTCGATAAATTCTTGTCTAAGTCTTTGCCGGCCAGTGGTTCCGGTCATGTAATTTTTCCCTTCGGCCAAAAAACTGGAATCTCTTAGACAATAATAAACTCATTCTATTAAAACGCCCTTTTTGGCCCGCAAAACAATAAATTCCGTCGAACCAAACCCAACTCCATTTATTAAATTCTTAACAATGTTCATTTTGCCATTTTCAAAGCAAGGAGTTATTTTGGCAATTAATAGATCATCTTCTCGAAAGTAAGTATAACCTTGATAAATTTCTTTTATTCTTTTTATCTTCTGGGGATGAACGTATAGAGAATATTCTTCACAGTCTTCCATCGGTAAAAAAGAAACGTCGATATTGCTTTTCTCTTTTGCCTCAGATTTAGGAGGATTCACCAAGCAAAGATCACCAATTCTCCTAGCTTCATAAGAGAGAGAGAGAGAGAGAGAGAGCAATTGAGATCATCAATCGTTTTTTGGGCATTTCAAATATTTTCCTTGATTTTATTTAATTCTTCTATTACTTTTCTTTGCTCGGCTAGAGAAGGAACCGGCACCCTTATCTTACAAAAGTCGGTGAAGTTTATGCTCGGTCGGGCTGTGCCGCGAAAGAAAGCATCGGCTTGTTCACGAAATTTTTCCGATTGGCAAACGCAAAAGAGATATTCAGGGACTATTTCTTCTTCATTTTTTACTTTAAAAACCGGGTAATAAGCGGTTATGCAACCGGTCATCTCCTTGTTATTATAGCAGATATAACCTACATTAACTCCGGGTGGTCGGTAAGCAAAGTGTTTAGGAGGAACCAATTTATAACCCGAAGTATCTTTTGAGGCTATCCTCTCTTTAAATCTTTCTTTTTGAGGAACAAAATTATCTTGCTTAGTTACGCTCCACAAGGGAAAATCTGCATCTTTTCGCAAAATAATCACTTCTTCGATTAATTCTTGTAAAGGAATAGTCTCATGTTTACTCTTAGTAAAATCAAATTTTTTATAGAGGCCAGGAATACTGACAAAATAATTTTTTTTTATTTCTTCCACCTCTAACTTTTGAAAACCATTTTTCAATTTTTCCTCTTCACTATGGTCTTTAAATTTCCAAAAAATATCAAAATCATTTTCGCCTCCCTTTTCCTCTCTTTTATTTTCAGTGAATCCATCGTTTTTAACTGTAAAATGCCAGATTTCTTTTTGTTTTCTTTCCTTAGGAGCAGTTAGATAAAGAATGACTGCATTAGAATTAGCATAAGGTTTAAAAGCGAAGGGAGGCAAAGAAATTAGGTATTCAAGATATCAATTTTGATAAAGATGCTGGCGTAAATCAGCATATTTACGGTCGTGCAAAATTCCTTCCAGGGTTATTAAAACTATTCGCCGCTCAGCATAATTCTTCTTGGTAGCATCTAAGCAATGTTCAATACATAAACTATTACCATTGGCTTTGCCTAAACAGTAATTATCTCGATATTCATCAAAAGGACCTTTTAAAGAAAAAGGCATATTGGTAATTACTATATCATACCGATTACTGGCGGGATTTTTTAAACTGTTAGTCCTTTGGATATTATTGTGACCATCACCAGCCAAGATCATATTCATTTTTGCTACCCGGGAAGTAGAAGTAATTTCGTTTCCCCAAACAGTCTTTTCTTTTAAATTATGCCATTTTTTGGCATCATTTTTAGGAATTCTTTTAGCGATATAATTAAAAACTTTGATAAGAATGCCGCCAGTGCCACAAAAA